GTGCAATTGATTCCCGGGACGATTTCTCTTCGGAAAAGTCGTTTTTCATGGCCGGAATTCAGCGTGCTGTTGAGATATTGAATTTTGAACCCATTTTTGCCCATAGTGCATCGGAAGAGAATCGCCTGGAAGAACGCTGAATCGCAGAGCGCAACTATCGAAAGATAAACAAACTTTGACGTTTAATATTTTGTAGGCAACATTGCTGCCATAAATGCTGTCATAAACCTGAACGGGTTAAGATCAAGCAAAATGGCTTTTGATAAATACAATTCAGCCTACAAGTTTTCTTCATAAAAGCCATTTCAAAACCTTATGAATTTGTTAAGGATGTATTGAAAGCAAAATAACTTTTGCACAAATGGCCCATGAAAATCAACTTTTATGCCTCCGCCATATTACAATTATTTTATTTGGTTTTTTACAATCTTCGATTTTCAATCTTTATTTCCTTGGATTTAACTTTATTTAAGTTCATTTAGTAATGAGAAAATATTTAGAATGCAAAAATCATGAGAAATAAAAATCTCGGTTTAGCTTAATGATCTATCTGAAGAATATATTTATATTTTTTTATTAATGTTAAATAATTAGTAAAATCGATGTTTTCCGTGCGCGGACTCAAGTTTTTCGATGTTTTCACTTTTATATGGCACCTAAAACTATTTTTTTTATAAAATCGGATGGTAGTTATGAATCCTTTATTATCTTGATTGTTGTTTTTTCTAGTGAACTCAGCAAGCAGCTAGGGTAAGTGGCTCGGATAATGGTTTTAATTGTTGCCAAATAGCTTTTATTGTAGCTTAAATGCGGTTTTGAAATGCGTTAATCCTACAACCATTTTGCAGTAAATCAATCCTGCTGAGCTTCGAAAATATACCCTGCAGAACCTTTTCCAGAGTGGGCCAACTCGACAGATTCTAGCATCAATGAGGCTTCCATGGATGCATCAATGGCATAGCAGTCTTCACAACGTTTTTTGAATGTTGTTTTATAGTAGCTTTGTAGTATTTCATAACACTTAACATGTTACTTGGGCTTCTTATGAACTTCAGGCAAGACTGAAAACATGGCCACAAAAAGTTCCGAACAAGTTCGCAGCGGAACTTCTCCGCAACTAGAAAATTTCAAAAAAGGTCAGTCATAGCACGCATGAAGCAATCCCCAGAAGTCTTTATTAGTAACAAAATTTAATGTACCTAAATATGAAATGATCAGTGGCTCAAATAAATCATTATTCTTATATTTATGCAGTGCATCAATATTCTATCCAAACATAAAAAAATAATTAAAGAGCAATTTCCTGGACTCGAACCCGTGTATCCGGCATGCGATCAACGAACGCTAACCACTGCGCCACAAGTGAGTTGGAATACCAGGCAGGCAAACGGGTTGTGTTTTGTATTCAAGTCAGTCAGCTGGCACTTAGAACTCCAACAGCTCACTTAAATATATCTCAGATAACGTAGCGGTTCGTGCTGGGGCTGTCACGCAAAAGGACTGGGTTTAATTCTTCAAACAGCTTCGATACTAATACAAATGCTGATAAATCAATACACGGTCATACCTGCTTTTAGAAAAAAAACATTCATAAAAGTGCGAACAATACAAAATTGGTGTACTTAGAGGACAAAAACCTGTTTTAACTAAAAGTTCCGTTCAAGTTCCGCCAGAAGCTGCTTAGAATGCTCTTCAATTATGGCATCGGAACTTTCAAGTTCTTTTAACGACTTAAAAATGAGGCTGCTTAGAATACTATAGACCACCTTCAACCAAGCTGCTTAAGCCACAAATAGCCTTTTTTTTAGAACTTTTGGTTAAATGAGAACCCAGCAGTGCCTGAGAAATTTGCATGCTTTGTGCTGCTGTGACATTGATCATGAAGCCTTTAATTTTGAAATGTTATAATTACAATGCATTAGGTTCGTTGCATCCGGTCCTTAACTTGACGAAGGTCTCCTCCAAAGCTGCCATAAATTTCCTCAACATACAGTCTCCACTATTCAATGAAAACTGTCCGCAACTCAGCACATAAAGTTCATACTTCCTCCGACTGCAGCGAATTGTGGGAGGAAGACATTAGTGAATCATAATGGAACATTGAATTAATTTTATAATTTATTATACTCCTACGATGCTTTGCCGCGATATGTTATGCTAAGATGCTGCCGGTTAATTTGTCTCCGAGTCCAACGAAATTGCATGCCAACCAACCTATCTCTCTGAATGTTACGAATACTTCATCTAACATCCCAAAACGTGAATTTGTAACCCAAGCCCAGCCATCGCCATCAATCATCGCGTAAATCTACCGATTTTTTTTTTGTTTTTCGATTACAATTGCAACACATCACCCCATCGTCGTCGGCCAAAATCCAGGGCTGCCGAGCCAATTACTCATTCACTTCGCTCATTTAATCCGTTCAAAATCTTGCATAAGACCTCCTCTCTCTCTATCTCTCTCTCTCGAAGCCACCCGCCACCAAAGCGAAAACCATCGAAAGCCAGGGGGGAAAGCTCGACTTCGATTGTCTCAAATTGAACATTATCGGCTAGCAGCCACCACACCGGCAGCACTTTCTTTCATGACACAATTTAACCCATCGCTAATGCTTTCATTAAAATCACCGAACATGTCGATTTTGGTTGCTCCGGCTAAAAGCACGTGCCCTCGAGTCAGTCATTCATTCATGCAGTTCGTTCACAGAGAACCAGTGATTGTCGTGCGGGGGAGGATGCCGTGTGTTACATCGAAAATTGATAGATTCATTGAGCAAAGTGTGACTCGATGGATGGGGGAAGCGGAGCGGTGGTGGTTCCGTTTGACAACCTCCCATGTGCCGTTACAGTAGTTGTTGCAAAAAATTTGAAAAACGTGGGTTGCGTCATCTCCGATGACGACGACGACGACGACGACGACTACGGTGGTTATCTAATTAAGCCTCATAATCGACGGTTGTTGCTGCCCCGTTTGCTGGATGAATGGTTTTTAATACCACCGTTTAAAGTAGATTTTTCAGAGCAACGATAGAACCTTTACGTCACTGATGATGGCTGTCGCCCTGAGGTTGAATCGTGTCAATTTTTTTCTCTTATAAAAGTGGGCGGTGGTGCATGCAGTTTTCTACGAAGAAAGAACTTACTGGACTGAAAACCAGGAGAACAGGGGGTTGCCATCAACCATTAGCTAATTGAATTTGGATGCAATTTTGCTGGTGGCCGCCTCGCGTTGGGCATAATTTGCGATAGACAAGCGGTGCATAATGGTGCACACTCAAGATTGACCCGATTGATGCCCCAAATATGGGGGAGGTTCTTGGGTGGATGATTGATTCACTGTGTTGGATCGGTGCTGTGGGATGAGTGAGGGACCTAAACGGTATAGAATGGGGGACTTTTATGCGTCGATTGTGAATGTTGCAATGTAATTTGTATGCACTTCTCGCTGTATGCAAACAATCGGAACCTGATGCAGCTTGAGTTGTTTGATATGGTATCCACCCATATTACTATTATCGTTAAGGTTCGAAACGATTTTTGATCTGCATAGAAAAGGAGTGATACATTTATTTTGTCACGCTCTAAACGGAGAGGGAAATTGAATTAATATAAGATTATGTGTCAAGCGATGCATTGGTAGTGTGTAGCTTTTTTAAGTGATAGACTCTCACAAAAATATAAATAGTAAATAAACACGTCATTCAAAAATCGTTGAATGCAGCAGGCAGCAACAGTGATGTTTTTTCTACTCAATCCTACTTTAATCAAAATAACAATAGACAATTTAGGATATTTTCATGATCGGTATAATATGATTCAATTTCTTTTTTTTATTAGTAAGCACAACATCTAATACCGACTTTTCTTCTCTATTTTCAGGTAATTGGACAGTCCGAGACAAATCTCCGTGCTGAACCAATGTTGTGATCCATCATCGTTGGCTATCCATAATACGGCTGCAATGAGCTGATTTATTTGATAATCGGGAATTGTTGACAGTTAACCGTAGAAGTGACCGATCTTTCTCTTTGAATTCAATTATTTGTATGCTTGCATTCTGCGTTGTAATTATCTAATCACACACACACAAACATTCACAGTTTATTATCGCTGACGGTTGTACTGAGAAAAATCAACAAGGATCATCTGATCGAACTTTTTTACGAATTATTGCACGCACACGACACAGCGCCATTTGAACGAACGAACGCAAGCAGGGTGGATACAAATTATATGGTGATCTTGAAATTTCGAGGTGATAGTAAGATCAATCAGAAATAAGGTTTCCACAGCAATTCACCTTACCTTCCACATTCAAAATTGTGGGCTAGATAGAGAAAGCCTTTTTAACGCAGTTTTTTTTTTTCGTGGTCCCTGTATTTGGTCCCATTAATCCACGCACCCCTATGCCCCGTGTGTGCTTTTTAAGCTTATGTTGCCCCCTTGGTAGAGTTGACGTTGTGCGTTTTTTGACGTAGACTACGTCTTACGGGAAGGTACTGGGGGTAATTCGAAAATTTAAAATTGCGACCGCCACGAAAAGATGTAAGGCTTTGATCGCTTCTAGCTTTGTCATTTATAGATGAAAGTAAAATCCAAATACACCAATCGATAGGAAACAACTCTCATAATCTAATTACAATCAATGCTTTTCCATATCTAAAAATAAACTGTTAGGAAATGCACAAATAAAAACTGATAATTTTATCACTGTTTTCATGAAATAAACGTTCTCCCCAAACCAAAACGTCATAATTGAGTACCATTTGATTGTGAATCGTTTTGCTTGAACCTGAAAAACTATATAAGAGCTCTGCTGTCGTTCCTCCGTTAATGGTTATTGGTTGCTAGACCGTCTAGCAGTATAGTTTCTTCTAATTAATTTTATTGTTACGTTCACGTCGTGCAAGTGCCGTCATCGACAGGTGCATTGGCAAGTCTAATTGCACTTGCCACTAAACAAAGCAAGGTACGCAAGCGTTCTACGACTCCTGCATCGGATGGCGCTAGTAAGAAGGCCCAAACGGACGCCAGTGCTGCTCCGGATGACGCAGCAAATCGGCTGCTATAGAGCAACCAATTCTCGGTGCTCGGAGCTGAAAAAGGAGCAGATTCCCCCGCTGTTTACCCCGATGAAGGACGTCGCCAAACTTAGGGATGAGCTGGTAAAACTCAAATTGTTCCCGCGATTCAAGATCTGTAGCGTAGGAACTAAGATCATGTGCTCCAGCCTACAGCAGTATAAGTCGGTCGGTGATCTACTGAAGAACAGTACGGTGGTGTTTTACACGCACGATTTGCCTTCGGTGAAACCATTGAGGACTGCCGTCGTACGAAGCGGCTGCCGTAAAAGTTGAACTGGTGCCCAATACTAACTATCGTGACCAACTGTTTCTGGTCTACTTCACAAAGGGCTCCACCACCATTGCTGCGCTGTTTCAGGTCATTATCTACTAGGAATCCTACAAACCACAACACCGTGATGTGACCCAATGCACAAGTTGCCTCTCCTTCGGCCATGGTACGAAGAACTGTCATAAGAACAGCGACAAGTGTGCTATGGCGCACTCGACGACGACCTGTGCTCAAGCTGATAACACCGATCCGAAGTGCGTGAATTGCGGCGGTACTCACCGTGCCACTACTCGGGACTGCCCCAAGCGAACGGAATACATCAACATCAGGAAGAAGGTGGTCACTAGCAACCTGCCAGGCTGGCATTGAAACAAATGTACACTACCAGCCATCACGGATGAACAATACCCGGCAATTCAGCCTCGTCGCCTGGTCCCAAACCTTCCACCGCTACCCATCAACAATCAACGAGCTGCACCCTTAGCTCAGCATCGCCTCACTTCTGCAGCGGCCCTGCCAAAACAAGTTTCTGCCTCGGCGCCTGGACTATCGTATGCCCGTGTTGCCTCAGGCGATTCAGTTGACCTGTCATCCAACGCACCTGCAAGACTCTATCTAAACAGCTTCATGCTTCCCTATCTACCGTCACCAAGTATGGACTGTGAAGCTATAAAAATAGCAAATGGGAACGCTTGCTCGCTGACGAACAAGCATAGAGAGCTATTCGATTACCTCAACACCAAGGAGATCGACATTGCCGATCATCACCGAGGCGCACTTGAAGTCCGAACTGAACGTATTCCTTTCCGACTTCCGGCTCGTCAGACATGACCGCACCTGGTTCGGGGTGAGAAAGTGGCCATCGCTGCAAGACGGAACATCAGTTGTCGGTTGCTACCAAACTTCCAACTGAAAACAATCGAAACCATCGGAGTGCAGGCGAACACATCACTTGGCCCAATTACCATCATCGCGGCCTACTGCCCTAAGCAAACCAACAACAGGGACGGGTCGTCAGTGGCCCTCCGGAAAGATATAAAAAAAATCTCACTTCATCATCGCTGGCGACCTGAACGCGAAATACCAAGCTTGGGGCAACGGTCGGAGCAATCGAAATGGCACCATCCTGAATGAAGACCTGCAAGAGGGCCACTATACCCATCTTGACCCCTGACACTCCCCACCGATGGAGTCGGTCCGGGGTCCATCGACATCTTCGTCGGCAACATGTGGCCTTCCAGGAGCTGAGCTCGGACCACTACCCGGTGGTGGCCGTTTGGGTTTTATTAGGGTACTGTAGACCATGATTTAGATTTGTAGAGTTCTTTAAAACCTCAATTAAACTTTCAATGTTACTTGGGCTGAATATCAAATAATTTGAGTACCACGGGTTCGAATCCAGGAATTTACCTTTTAATATTTTTTTTTATGTTTGGATAGAATGTTGATGCACTGCATAAATATAAGAATTATGATTTATTCGGGCCACTGATCATTTCATATTTACGAACATGAAATTTTGTTACTAATAAAGACTTGTGCGAATTGCTTCATGTGGCTTGAAAGTTCTGTCGGAACTTTATTTGAACTTTACGGAACTTGGAAGTGATTTTAATCGTTGAATGCGGAGCTTTTGGTTACTTGGGTCAGCAAAATAATTTTGAGTTTCTAAAGGCACAACAACTTCTTATTCAAACTTATGCTGGGCCTTTAAAGGGTCAACAACTTTGAATCAAAATGATGTTGATCTCGTACAGTATGCAAAAAAAGTTTATCCACCCCCCTACCAATTTACATTTTTTGTTTGTTTTTCTGATGAAAATCAGTTTAATTTTATGAGTGTTCTTCCATGATTTATCAATTTATGTTTATTTATCACATTGCCATTGAAAATACGGCGTTTATATCTTTTCTTGAGATTTCATAAAATGTGGTCCTGGGCCACTTCAATCTTTTTTTTTTAAATATATTGAGGACAACCATGGCTTCTTAAGAGCTACTCTGCCCTTAAGACTTTTCTTATGAATACGATTTCGTACGGATTGTGATGTCAGTTGAATGGAAAACTCGTTTTCAATATGTTTCGCAATTTTCGGAGCTGATATTCCTCGGTTCAGCACCTCCTTCTTCACGATACCTCTGTCAATTCGGCCAGTTGTCTTTGAAGGACGCCCCGATCGCTTAGCTGGTGAGATAGAACCACGCTTTTTGTACATCTGCACAATTCTAGCGACCGTATCTTTGTGAAGCTGGACAATATCGGCAATATCACGGTAGCTTTTGCCAGTTTTGTGATGTTCAATAATCAAATTTCGGATACTGATCGTAATTTGATCTTTTTTGGGCATTTTGAAACAAATAACTTCCAATTTTGAACACAAAACTGAAATTTTAAGCACGAAAACTTCAAGAGTACTAAATGGCAGATAGACACAATGTTTACATTCGAAAAAGTTGCAGAATACACACTAAAACTCTGTAAAACACACTTAAATCATAGTATCCGTTTGGGGGTGGATAAACTTTTTTTGCGTAATTTTTTACAATTTTTCATAATTTATCACATGAAATCTCAAGAAAGATATAAACGCCGTATTTTCAATGGCAATGTGATAAATAAACATAAATTGATAAATCATGGAAGAACACTCATAAAATTAAACTGATTTTCATCAGAAAAACAAACAAAAAATGTAAATTGGTAGGGGGGTGGATAAACTTTTTTTGCATACTGTAAAGGTTAAACAGCTGCCTAATCAAAATGGTTTTGAGCTTCTAAAAGCTCATCAGCTTCTAGATCAAAATGGTTTAAAGCCCTTAAGTTGCAACAGCATTTTAATCCAAATGATTTTGAACTTCTTAAGCCACAACAGTTTGTTAATCAAGCTGAGCTTATAAAGACGCAACCGCTTCTATTTCAAAATTATAGTGAACTTCTAAGGGTGCAACAGTTTGAACAGCTTCCTAATCAATAATTTTGAGCTTCTAAAGGCGCAACAGGTTTGTAATAAAAATAATTTAGAGTTCGTAAAGGCGCAATAGAAATATCATTCCGTTCAAAGTAATAAGCTCTGAAATGGTGGTTACCTAAGGTTACGCATTCACGTAATCATATATTTTCAGAAATTATCCTGAGCTTCTAACGGCGCAACAAGTTCTTAATCAAAATGATTATGAGCTCCTAAAGACACAATAGCTTCATTATCAAAATTATGTTGAACTTTTGAAGGCATCAGCTCCTAATTCAAAATTATTTAAAACTTCTAAAGGCACAACAGCTTTGTAAATCAAATGGTTTTGAGCTTCTAAAAGTGAACCAACTTCTGATTCAAAATGATGTTGGGCTTCCAAAAGCGCATCAGCTTCGTTATCAAAATGATGTTGAGCTTTTAAAGGCGTAACCGTTCTTAATCAAAATAATTTTATGCTCTTGAAGGTTCAACAGGTTCTTAATCAAAATAATTTTAAGCTGCTAAAAAACGCAATAGCTTTGTATGTAAAATGATTTGTGCTTATAAGGCAGCAACAGCATCGTAATATAATTGATTTTGAGTTTCTAAAGGCGCAAATGGTTCTTATTCAAAATGAATATGAGCTCCTAAAGGCAAAATAGCTTCATAATCAAAATTATGTTGAGCTTCTGAAGGCACAACAGCTTCTCAATAAAAAATAGTTTGAGCCTTTAAAGGCACAACAGCTTCTTAATCAAAATGATATTGAACTTCTGAAGTCGCATCAGCTTCTAATATGAAACTTTTTTGAACTTCTAAAGGCGCAACAGCTTCGTAAACAAAATGATTTTGAGCTTCTAAAAGGGCATCAACTTCAAATTCAAAATGATTTTTTTTTCCTTGATTTGTTTTCCGTCGATCTTGTTTTCCGTCCTGAGCACCGATGCTATCGACGCCAGGGAGACAGCTACCATACCTAGACCCTACCTATCGACCCATCAATTCATGAACCGGAGACCAATGGGGCTTTACTTCCTCTCCGAAGGAAGGCGTGATCAGAGATGTGATGCCTCAGAACATCCCGGCGGCGCCGACTAGGATTGAACCCAGGCCTGCTGGGGTGAGAGGTAATCACGCTTACCACTACACAACCGGCACCGCTGAATTCAAAATGATGCTGGGCTTCTAAAAGCGCAACAGCTTCGTAATCAAAATGATGTTGAGCTTTTAAAGTCGTAACTGCTTCACAATCAAAATAATTTTGAGCTTCTGAAGGCGCAACAGCTTCTTATTCAAAATAACTTTAAGCTTCTAAAGATACAATAGCTTTGTAATAAAATGATTTTGAGCTTATAAGGCAGCTACAGCTTCTTAAACTAATTGATTTTGAGCTTCTAAAGGCGCAACAGCTTCGTAATAAAAATGATTTTGAGTTTTTAAAGGCACAAAAGGTTTTTATTCAAAATCATTATGAGTTCGTAATTGCAAAATAGCTTCATAATCAAGATTATGTTGAGGCACAACTGCTTCTCATTAAAAAATAGTTTGAGCCTTTAAAGGCGCAACAGCTGCTTCATCAAAATGGTATTGAACTTCTAAAGTCGTATCAGGTTCTAATTTGAAACTTTTTTGAACTTCTAAAGGCGCAACAGCTTTGTAATCAAAATGATTTTGAGTTTCTAAAGGCGCAAAAGGTTCTTATTCAAAATGATTATGAGCTCCTAAAGACAAAATAACTCCATAATCAAAATTATGTTGAGCTTCTGAAGGCGCAACAGCTTGTCGATAAAATTTAATTTTAGCCTTTAAAGGTGCAACAGCTTCTTAATCAAAATGATATGAAACTTCTAAAGTCGCATCGGCTTCCAATTTAAAGCTATTTTGAACTTCTAAAGGCACAACAGCTTTATAAACAACATGGTTTTGAGCTTCTAAAAGTGCATCAACTTCAAATTAAAAAGCAGTTGAGCTTGCTTAAGCGCAACAGCTTTGTAATCAAAATGATGTTGAGCTTTTAAAAGGGAAATCGCTTCTTAATCAAAATAAGTTTGAGCTTCTGAAGGCACAGCAGCGTCTTAATCAAATGATTTTGAACTTTTAAAAGGCGCAACAGTTTCTTATCACAAATAATTTTAAGCTGCTAAAGACACAAAAGCTTCGTAATTAAAATGATCTTGAACTTCGAAGGCCGCTACAGCTACTTTATCAAATTGATTTTCAGCTTCTAAAGGTGCAACAGCTTCTTATTAAAAACGGCTTTAAGAGTGTACAGGTGCAAAAACTTCGTTAAAAAAATATATTGAGCCACTAAAGGTGCAACAGTGTCTTGATCATCTGAGCTCCTAGAGGTGCAACATGATCATATTCTAAATTATTTTGCAATGCTAAAGACGCTACATTGCATAGCATAGCATAAACCTGGTTGCACAATGTCGTAGGTGGTACGAGCTCCCAACTGTTGTTAAGAAGAAGACCCACCTTCTTCCGTTACTGTTAGATAGTAATTTGTGATTAATTACTTCCTCTTAGATAAAGGATGTGTCTTCCTTAATGCCATGCTCATTACTTCTCTACACTGGTGGGGAAAGGGGAGGAATGTAAGTCCAACACTTACTTAAGAGAGATGCAGAGAACTCTACGACCCCTAATGAATGTCACGAGAAAGGTTGATTTTTGTTAGTAGGGAGGGTAAAGGCCCAAGCGCAATGACAGCGGAAGCGGAACGGCAGCGGCAGCGGAAAAGCCCGATCTGAGTAAGCGTACTTGTCGGATTGAAAACTAGTTAGAAGCAAATCGACATAGGTTAGGCTTCTTGATGTCATTTGTGACAACTGTCAAACTTTCCGTTTCCGTTCCGCTTCCGTCCACATTGCGTTTGGGCCTTAAGCCATAGGATACGCCCAGCCGGCGTTGCTTGCAATCGTTATATCAAGCATTTAATAAATACAAGCTGTAAGTAGTTTATCTGTCCGTTGTTGCTGCCCATTGCCTAAACATATTATTCAAAACAGTCTTCAGATTTTGGAATTAAGAAACGTTATCAGCTCGATCCTGTTGCTCCTTTGCGGCTGAAAATGTTTGTTGATCCTGAACATATGCACAATTCAGTTTGATCGATAGGAGGTTTTCATGTGTAAAAGGTTATTAATAGTATGTGGAATTGTAGATTAGAATGAAGATTCGCCCTTGGCCTAACTCCCACTGTCTGGCAGTGGCATTATGGATACAATCTGCCTGCCATCATTTCTTATGAATGCAAGAAGCTTGAACCCAGGAATTAGAAGGTGACAGCCCTACCGCAGCAACAATAGCCCATTTCAAGAACGCAAGCATTCCGAAGCTATTTTCACACATAATAAGCCCCGCTCCAATGCATTATCGATGCAAATATACACCATTGATAATGTACTGTAACTTTCAATCAAGCAGTAGTGCAACACATGATTGACGCGTATTTAGTAAGTTTTGAAATGATGGTCTTGAATTCGATGGATATTTCCTATTGAGTACAGAGGAACGAAAAGATAAATAAACTTAGCTGAGCATAACTACGCGTAGGTTAGAACAGTCGGCACCACATGCAACGGATAAGAATTTGAAAATTTCCACTTAATGCACTTTTCAACATCACTTCTGTACTTTCAAATTAACACTTTTTAAAAATGAAATTGTAAATTTTTATATCATTTTCACTAGAACGAAAACGACGCAGCAAAACAAAAACACGTCATTTTCGCAGCGCGGCCTACTTCGATCTCCTTTGCAATTCTAAAGACGCTTCAGCTTCGTAATTAAAATTATGTTAAGCTTCTTAAGGCACAACACGTTCTTAAACTCCGAACACGATGTTTCCGGTAAAATGTGTAACGGCAAACTTGCAATTTTTGAAAAATCATAGCTCAGCCATTTATTAACGAATTTCAAATCTATTGACGCCACTTGAAACATTTGCTATCAATAGGTTTAAATTCAATTTATAAATTGCTGAGTAATGATTTTTCAAACATTGCCAATTTGCCATTACACATTTTACTGGAGGCATCGTCTTCGGGGTGTTAATCAAAATTATGTTGAGCTTCTAACGGCGCAACAGCTTCAAATTCAAAATGATTTTGAGCTCCTAAAGGCGCAACAGCTTCGTAATCAAAATGATTTTAAACCAGTGTGGTCAGTTCGACGAGTATATCTGAAGATCTTCGGATTTGTTAATTCACTACAGATCTACGGATCGCCTATAACATTTTATGGATGTTCCGAATTTTTTCATGATTTGATTTTCCAGTTTCTAAAAATTTTGGCTCATCACTTCAAAACTTTTTAACTTTTGTTTTGGTTTTGGAAAATGGTCATTAAATTTAGCAATAATTTAAATTAACAACACTGTTTTGAGCTGTTGTAGCTTCCATTGTAAGCATAAGTAAAAAACTTGAATTTAGAACGCAATTGATGGAAACTTATTATGAAAATAAATATTTTTCGTTGATGGACCGACAAATTCCTAAAACCTACCTATTTAAATAGCAAACCATTAACAGTTATCAACAAGCCATCTTTCACCATTCGCTCTCCACGCATAGTCATCATATTGCGTCGTACAATAAATCCCGCAGCCCATTCGAACAACAACCATAATGACAGGTGCGTGCAAGCTACTAGTGTTCCTGCTAATTCCACTCATTTTCGGAGCCGATCAAAATTGGACCAGATTTTTGGTAATTATTTCCTTTCCTACGAACACAACATCACTCAGTGTTTAATTTACAGCGCAGATCCATCGAAAAGCATGGCTATCCGGCAGAACTGCACTCGGTGATCACTGAAGACGGCTACACCCTAACCTTGTCTCGCATTCCATCTCCTCGGAAAACGCCCATCCTGCTGCTGCATCAGGTGTATGGCTGTTCCATAGAATTCACCATGTTGGGACCTGGGAAAGCCCTCGCACTCTTAGCGCACGACGATGGCTACGACGTGTGGATGGGCAATGTCCGGGGTAACATGTTCTCAAGAGGTCACTTATCGTTGGATCCGAACCGAAATGCCTATTGGGACTACAGCTATCATGAAATTGGTGCTTACGATCTCCCGGCAATGGTGGATTACATACTGTTCCTCACCGGAAAGCAGAAGTTGCACTACGTCGGGCACTCGCAGGGTGCGGCTGTATTCCTGGTGATGGCATCGATGCAACCAAAGTATAATGCGAAAGTGATCAGTGCCCATCTTTCTGCACCACCAGCGTTCCTATCCAAGGCGACATCACCGGCAGGAAGGGTGAGCGGAGAGCTCCTGTCTTCACTGCAGTTGATGGAGAGTTTGGGAATTCGCAGCGTCGGTGATAGGTTCAACAGTGAGCCGATGATGTACTTGAAGCAAGCCATCGATGTCAACGTTGTTAGCGAAGAGTGGATCATGGAAACGGTTTACTTTCTAACCGGCGAGGATCGTGATGGCTTCAACATGTCGATCATGTCGGATCTTACGGCGGCTTTTCCGGCCGGAGGATCGATTCGACAGTTTATGCACTTTATGCAGTGTTACCGGTCCGGAAGGTTTGCTCAGTTTGATCACGGGAAGGCTGGGAACACTAAGCGGTACGGTCATTCGACGCCGCCGGCTTACGCACTGGATCTGGTGACGGCACCGGTGGCCATTTACTACGGAAGCAATGACCGGTTTGTGTCGGCGGAAGATGTGAAACTGCTGGCGAAAAAGCTACCCAATGTTGTGCTGCGGTATTTGCACCCGAATCCAAAGTGGAACCATATTGATTTTCTGTACAGTGTTGAGGCGCCCCAGGTCTATCGGCACATTTTGAACTTGATTCGCTCGTTTGAGCGTAGATAAATACAGGGAACAGGTTAAAGGTATTTGTTTTGGAATTAAAATCTTCGAAATGGCCAAAATTTTAAATTAGGATTGTACTAGAATTAACCCTAGTGCTTTGTTTTGCAAATATGTTGCATGAATTAAACAAAAAACACGCCGATATTTCAATTGTTTGATCGTAGCAGATTGTTATAAATTAAAGCCAAATCCATGACGTATGTATTCACCGTTAATCGATCGGTAGATTTTCTTTAAAAATGATGCCATCATCGCCTAACGGATCGACCTAGGTGCTGAAATTTTCATTCGACACCTGACGATCATCATCATCATCATAATCCAACAACACACTGCTAATTGAGGCCAGCTCACATATTAACACCAAATGGCAACGCCGCCATCAATAAGCGGATCACTATCCAATTAAACTAATCCTCCAATGGACCTAAGAAACGCTGTATTCACACAAAAAAAAAACCGATACCTAACCTCTAGCCTCAATTAACACCTCCAAACGGTGCAATTTTCCTGCATCTATTTTCCTTCCTCAAGAACCATTTCGCACGCAGGCAGCTCCACAAAATTAGCTCCGTCTTCTCCTCCTCCCCAAGAGCGCTCTCTGTCTTTGCTAAACCGAGCGAAGAAAATCGGAACAATTATCCATGCCACATTTGGCGGTCACCGTCGAGTGATGAGAGCAACTTGGAGATCACTTTTTTCCCCCCGCGCTGCTCTACAATGCGTCCTCAGACTGGGGCGGGGTAGCCTTGTAGTCACCAACGGAGCCAAGATCAACCCCTCTCACACAATGCCCACTGGCCGCAGTTAGACCCAGTTTCTGCTGATGGCCATTGTGACTCCGGGTCGGGTGGAGTCTGCACATTGCCGCCGGCTGGTTGAAGATCAAGTGGCATCAAGATCTCCATCCGACAACCATGGCAGCGAGAGAGGTGTCGGTTTTCTAGTTCACTGTTGAGGTCTTTCCCGCGGAGTGCTCTCAGTTTCACTTCAAACAAACGGATGGCAAGAAAAAGTCATTGAACATAACTTTGTTGCTAGCGGTACATTTTTGTTCTGAGAGGGAAAATGTCAAATCGCGCATACGCGCAACGAGCGAACGGTGGTTGCGGTTTTATGCCCTTTTCGGGGGCGGCCCAACCCACCTCCAACTAAGAAGCTCCGATCCCACAAATCATCTGTACAGTGGTTTCCATTTTTGAAGGGTAGTTATAACGAAGAAGCACTCGCAGGTGCTCCCATTCTATGCTTAGAGCTGCAGGGTGACTCAACCTTGACATTTCGCTGTTGGAAATGACGACGTCGTCGCCGGAATAGGGTTTGTCTCTTGCACAAGCTATGTAAGAGTAAGAATGAGTTGTTCCATCGATGCAGTGCACATGAGATTTGCATTGACGGTAATAAATAGTAGGCATCTCGTTATATTAGGGACTTCCCAGTCTGCGGATGAGCTTGTTGGAAGAAAGACAGAAGACCCTCTTTTCATGGCACTAAAAGAAGTTAGAACAACAGGTGACTCCGCCAACGACAAAGCGCAGAATTCAAAGAATGCTCATTCAGAATTTTATATTTTACGATATTTTTGCTGCGAATGCGCTTTGGCAAATATGGCTCTAATGTTGGCCTATGGATCCAAGATGGGGCCCATCGTTAAAAACCTGCTATTTATCAATTTTATCTAGATGAACGCTTCATTGGGACGGTACTAATGGATATTTTTGGTCGCTATTGACAATTTAGTATAAAAAGTAAAGCATGGCCCACTTAGTAATGGAAAAAAATCATTTGGATCTGTTTCGGATTTGAATTAACGGATTTGAACACGGTTTTCACTCAAGTGCATACTATTCCTTATATTCTAAGAAAAAAAAATACGAAACTAATTATTCGTCGCGGTTTCGAAGGACTTCTCGAACTTTTCCTTCAATACGACCCATCATGCAGCGCACAACGGTCTCGTCCACTGTTTTGGTAATTTCACTCATCAATTTTTCATCTGAGCTGTCGTTTTGATGACTGTACCTTTTAACTTCAGTTTCCTCTTCATAACTGGACTCCGTTGTCATTGTACCATTGTTAGTACTTCCCGGCTGTAGTGACAACTCGCAAGCTTCGGCCAAAATGTCACCAGACCATCATGTGACTGGATTAAGGGCAAAGTTCGCTTCTGGAGACATTCTCTTTTGTAAACCTCCGAGTTCATCATTTTCTCAGTGACGAAAACCTTTGTCTTCTAGCCGCAGCTGCCAATTCCGTGCCAAATCATATATTTACGTGCGAATTTATCCGTAAAAACAAATATTAATCTGCCAGGGGCACCGCCTCGAGCCTTCGCTTTTTAAATGTTGGCCCTGGAAGCTGTCCGAAGTCGGCCTTTACATTGGTTTCATCATCCATAAGTATGCACCCACCGGACTTGGTTCGCAGGTTGTCATACTGCTTTCAAGCACGGGATCTACTTACGGTATTCGATTTGGATGCTTACTGGCACGGTATGCCTGTAAGCCTTCGCGGTAACGAATTCACTGCACTGTACTACGGGCGTCATCATACTTTTGACTAAAATCACGATCGGACATACCTGGGTTGCTTCTGATGGAACTCACAACCTTTCTATGGAGCTGACGGTTGGCAGTTCCACTCCAGCTTTTACTTTGAGGTTTCCGATTTGTCGTCAAGATTTCCTTGCACGTTTTAAGAAAGCACCATATGGTGTTCTAGGAAAATTCAACACTTTAGTCAGCATGGACGCGGACCACGTTGGATTTTCCAAGTAACTGTGCATGATTTTTTTTTCTACGCTGAATGGTGACTGTCTCCAAAAGAAGAGCGTTTTATGAACTGAAAAAAATACACGTTTATTGTTATTGTTGCTGTCAACAAATAAACGTCAACAGCTTTCGAATACGTCCACTAGGAGCACTGTAATAAGCAAAAGAGTTTGTTCCATTACTAAGTGGGTCAGGATCATGGTTTTTGGCAATAAATTAAATTTTAATTCATTGAGGAGATTTGTCCTGGAGTTTTACTGTTTTGACGTAGACTACGTCCGACGGGAAGGTACTGGGGGTAAATCGAAAATCTAAAATTGCGACCGTCACGAAAAGGTGTAAGGTTTTGAACGCTTATAGCTTTGTAATTTATAGATGAAATTAAAATCCTAATACATCAATCGATAGGAAATAGCTCTCACAATTTGCAGCAATAAATGCTTTCACAATTTTGTCAAAAAAATCGTTGAAAAATTTATAAATTAAAAGTGATAACTTTATCACTGTTTCAGTGAAATAAACGTTCTCCCCAAAACCAAGTCGTTATAATCAAGTGCCATTGCGCATCATCCTGCTGGAACTTGTAAAACTATATATGAGCTCTGCTGTCGTTCAGAGGCAGGAGCAAATCAGGAATAGGTGAAATTTTTCCCTCTGCCACTGCTGAACATTGCGGCAGTCAGGCTAGAGCGGTGCTGTTGTTAATCCGTTCATCTTCGCATCGGACGGACGGTGTGGTAAAATAGCAGCACACAGTTCGAAAAGTAGTGTAAACAGTGCACACAAATGGAGCATCATATATCATTTAAGTTTACATTATATAGCTTGAGCTTGAGCTTGATTGACCGCCCACGGTTGCTACTCTGTTACTGCCAGATCAGCTGTAATTACACAGAGAACCAATAGACGATGCTTGGGACTAGCAATCATCCTCAATGTGTAAAAACTGGTGATCTTAAATTAGGCAATACCAGCGCCGGCCGCGCCCGAACACAGGTCAAGAAAGGAATGGGAAGGATTGTGTTGACATGACACTCGCTTTGATGGAAGCCGAGAACACCTCTGCACTTCCACGAGGAATCACTGGGATGTTGGATAAGAGGGTTGGGTTTGCAGCAGGGTTCGTTTTGGTAAACGATAAGCTGAATTGATGTCCTAACGATCATATAACGCGAAGGAGCTTGGGACTAAACCCACGGTCTTCTGCTCAGTAAGCAAAAACGTTTGCCACTAGGCAGACGAGCACCTTTTTAATCACCGAGTTGCTGTTATTACCATGTAGTCATATTAACAAATAAAACGATTGCCGAATCTTGAATGTGGATGGGCCTGAGATTAGACTCATGATATTCTGCTCAGTAAGCAAAAACGGTTGCTCTAAGGCCACCGAGCCCCTCATATCACATAATACCGTTGCTCAAATTTGTGTATCGATTCAAACCCGGAACCAACGACAACAACGAGTTTCGCAAAATACACGATACACAAGCGATTTTACTATAAATCTCTTTGATATGTAAGGACCTGGGACCGCGTTTTTCTGCTCAGTAAGCAGGCCACTGTAACCGACGATCTTTAAAATCCGAAAACTAAAAACTACGAAAAAGTACTTAGGCCTTCATTAAGTTCCACTTTCACGCGACGTTCAATGACAGGGTCCTATCCAGGATTACATCTGAAAAATCCAAATCTGGCCAACGCCCACCCTAAACCTAAACCTGTTCTAATCCACCTGAAATGACTAACGAATGGAAGACTTTGACTACCCAGCCATGCAATAGACTCATTCCGTGCCTTATGGCAACTTGATGATTCTATTGCGCTCATCTTTTGGCACCACCCAGGGAAGACTTGGTCCTGTACCCAATGCTTAACTTATCTCCATTCCACTCAGCTACTCGCAATTTCTTGTGATATAGTGGACGGAATATTATTATATGAGACAATTCAATGCAGACGTCTTTCCAAATTTGGCAGATCGACAGGTAATCGGTGAGTTACCACGATAGTTGCTATTCAACAACTCGACAACGTCCCATCGTCAACGCCTGCTATGAGAATTTCCCATTGCAGACGCCAACGAAATGACGTCATCGAGCTATCGATCAACTACCCTGGTTATCGCCTGGTACCTTATAGCACGATGCTAGGAGGCGAACCGGAAGAATCGATGAGCTACCTCTCCCCCTATATCATTTAAGTTTACATTATATATCATGTAAAGTTCTA